ATAAACTTGCAAGCCTGATAAACATATGGATGCTCAGCACAGGTGAAATACAGGTAAAATATACTTCCCCGCGATTGGTCAATCGATGAAAATCCTGGCGTGCTAATGCTATTGGTCAGAAAAAATGCACATTTTTGACGATTATTGGCCACCTGTGCTCTTCATACGACGAATAGCGCACGTCATATGATAGCGATTGATAACGATACTGCAGCTAATTGGGCGAGGCAAAATTGTAAGATCGTCAAGCAGTTGCAAGATCTTTTATTTCTTTTTGTAGTCTACTTTCAACTTGCTAGTCCTAACGTATCATGTTATCATGATCAGAGAAAATCATTGCTGGTTCACACGATTTAGTATTCCGTACATCAAAATACGTACAATACTTAAAATGTCAAACTTTACCTGTGTTACTTTCATCTTCCCATCTTCACTTTTTATATCTATCTTTTAAAATGCATATTTCTTGTAAAAAAACATAAATTTTCAATGCATTTGTCATCCCCTCCGTGCTGACAAACGGTTACCCCCCGCTCCAACATTGGTCGGTCCCTGCGCAGAACGTCTGCGCAGTGGTTCATCTGGCGCTCGATACAAAATTGCCGACGATGGTTTGTAAACAACTAACGAGGTTTATTCATTTGTTTTGCACTTGTCTAAATTGACGATGGCGGTATTTTGTGTGTTGTGATTAGATTTGGGATGTTGTTAGGTTTTAGCGGGACCACCTGGCCGTCACGTTTTGCCTTTTCGGTTGCTTGAGGGCCGGGAAGAAAGAACAATTGTCTGACGGACACGGTCAACTGACAAACGCAAACAATCTCGGCATGTTTTGCTGACTTTGCTGCCAAATTTATTGACTTTTCTTTGTAAGTAGATGATTTAAACGTTTAGAAATGGTTACAGTAGGATTAGATCGCCATATTCTGAGTCAGTAACTAGTTGTTCCATCATGTTTGACTTCAGAAAGTTTTATTCGGTTTGGGACGATTTTTTTCCTGCGTCGTTTAACAACAAAGATGGCGGCGTTGTTTTGGGACTGGTTCTTTCTATCTTGATAATTTGTAGATATGTCGCTGAAAATAATGAGAATTTTCTAAATGTTGAATGACATGATAAATTATATATGGTTGTATTGTTGTGGCTATATTACGTATTTGTTACAGTATTGTATCTTTATTATTATACCTCCTTTCCCAAGTATAAATTTTGCCTAAATTTTGGTCCAACTCTGCAGTCTAAAGACAGATTCATACTAGTACAAATGTAAGTTAGGCCACACCATCTTAATTTTATGGATGATCCGCGCACACATTGATTTTCGCCTGTTCTCAAAAAAAAAAAAAGATTAGCACCGAGCACGTCCACCGAGGCTCTTGCCTGGCTCTAGGCCTGGGTAGTCCATGTTAGTCAGCGACAATACGGAGCCGGGCACCCAGGCTACCGAAGCTTCACGACTCAAGAACTCAGTACATACAGTAGGTACAGTGCCGATTGATAAATTCTGCAAAAACCCAGCATGTGCCGGCTTGTCGTATAACCACTATAAGTATATATTATGCCGTATTGCCACAAATTCACTATACCAGCTTTGCGTTCTTGTGGTTTTGTAGCATTTTTATTTTTGGCCGGATTTTTTTCTATTCGCCTGCGCACAATAGTTTGGGTGTCATCAGAGGATGTCATTCATAAAATTAAGTCGGTGTGGCCTAATACATTAGCATTTTCCTTTATGATGACAGTATGCACGGATTATATATATGGCATTTATATGTACAGTTAGGATTTGTAACATTTCATATGTATTTCAACAAAGTTGTATAGAATTGTAAATACTAAATGTATATACAGGTTATTTTAATCTTAATATTATTCTTTCCCAATACCTCTTTAGACACATTTCCAACAAGAGTCAAATGCATTTGTTATTTTGATATGCTAATTTCACTTAATTAACACAGGTCCATTAAGTTTATTGATAATTATATATTGTAGACAAATGATTGGCACTGAGGGAAAATTTGATTTGTGAAATTAACTCTTCATAATCAAATACTGGATATTACTAGTACACTGTACTTACTCTTAATAAATTGATGAATTTTTCAGGGTTTCAAAACGATTGAAAATCAAAAGAATGCTATCACATGATGCAACTAAAAGGTATGTATTTTTACATATCATTTGACCATACCAATATGAATCACACAATTTAGTTATACCAGTATTCGAAGTTTGTATTCAGACAAGCATGAAGGTACATGTACCATAAAATTAAGGCCATAGAAATACTGTAGTTTGAAGGCTAGTTATGGCTTCACCAGAAAACCATATTGTTTTCTCTGATGTTTCTTCTCCTCCTTCTCCTTCTCCTGCCATTTTTTAAAATGGATTCAGCTTCTTCATTTTGGGGCCTAAGGATCTGAAATTTGGTATGGAGGTACAGTGGGCAAATACCCTTAGGCGTTTTGTAAATTTTTGTGATACAGGCTTTTAGAATGGTTTTATTTGAGTTTTTTGGCTGTATTATAGCAAATGTATTACTGTGTCAGTGGGCAGTGTTAACCACATTTGGCATGAGTCATCACAATGGAATGCAGGGCATCAACCAATAGGCATGCAGCTTTCCTCTCTTCTTCTTGCTGATTGGCTGTTGGGATTTAACTTGATTAACACCTGCACAGACCATTTCCACCTGACAGTATGTCTGTATTCAAGTGTTTTGGTAGGTATTTCAAGCTTTCCTGCTCCAGCATTGGAATGCGGGGCATGAACGTTTTTTTTTTGAAAATCAACAGTTTGCATTATGCAATTAAAAATCCTAACCAATAATGTAGGGAATAGCTAGCCAACTGTTGTAGTCTTAGTTGTATGTTACTTCATATTATAGTTATATCAATGTAAAGCATTGTTTTCCCTTGTGTTTCTCATTCTTTCCCTGCCATGTCGTAAAATGTGGTGAAGCCATCGCTGTATTTGCTCCAAAGCAAATATTGGCCTTTCTAGTTAGTATTTTAACATGTCCAGCGAAGATACCGGTATCTGTATTTCCATAACCCTAGTAATACAGGTAAAGAAGAAATATTAGATACACATAATGTACCATATTTAGGTTAATTAATGTAAGTGCAGATAATAGCATTTGTCAATTCTTTCTGAGTAGAGTACTATATTACAAGAAAATACATTGTGGTCTCATGCTATCCCATTCACAGCTCACTGCTACACAAGCTTATTTACCAGAAAGTATGACAATCCTGTTGTGCCCGTTTCTAGGTGCATTACAACTATTTTAACTTTTTTCTCAAAAGCATTTTAACACCGGAAAGATCGTTAAACTATTTAACCTCAAGGCACGTCAGTTGCCCGCTGTGCCGCCAAGGTGCACTTGAGTGTCATTGTTGGAACCACTCAGGTGTTAAGGAGACTTAATCAAATTTCCCGCGGCGCGGATTACCTTTCCACTAACGGCATCGCCTTCTCTTTCCGTTAGATGATTGGATTAGTAACACCCATTGGTGAGCGATGAAGCGCGGTGAAAGGAGGGTGCAAAGACGTCAGTCACCTGTGAGAAGTCGCCGCGGGGGTTCCCAGTCGGAGGGAAGGGGTAACAGGAGACCAGCGTCGCAACTTGAAGACCCCACCAACTTCAGCAGTCACCATACAAGACGTTCAAGGAAAGCAAGAAGAAGTTTAGAAAAGGTGAGCAACTTGGTAAACGATTTTTTTAGTCCAGGCATTGTAGTTCTTTTTCTTTGCTTCCTTGCACGCTCCTTTTGACCACTGTACCTTTCTTTTGTATAACCAGGTCAAGTTTCTTGGTATATTGTTGTTTTCTTTGGTCCAGAGCCAATCCAACCATGTGATTCTTTTTAACTGGTACCGGTGCAGTGGTGCTTATCAATACTAAGCATGGTATGTTATACTTACAGTATACTACATACATACTATATAAATTATAATCATTTTTTTTATGAAACTGGGCAGATTCTGGTTGAAGTTATGCTTAGAAAAGTAAAAAAAAACAGTTAAACTTGGTTATTGCACCATAGCACAAATAAATTACATGTGTAAGTATTGTTCTACTCTAATTCTAAAATGGTTACTTGATTTCAAAAGTAGCTATTAGTATTACAGTATTTATGGTTTGTACAGTACATTGTCATAAATGGCAACTTTTGCTATATTTACTTTGAAAAATCCAGTTTACTGCGCATGCCCTGAAATCATTTTGTGCCAGCACTCACACAGGTAATGGTACCGGTGTTAAAGAAAGGAATGTATTTATTAGACATTGATGGTTTATCACACTCACACATGAACATTTATACTTGTTCTTTCTCCCTTTGTGTTGTGGTAGCCATAGGTACATACATGTTATGCGTATGTAACTTAACTGCTCATTATACTACAGCTAAGGTGCAGAAACACATGTTATCCACAAGAGGGCACTGCTAGCACAGAAGATGAAACAACCCACTTCAACTGATAGAACAACCCTTTGTTTTACAACATTTAGGCACAAGTTTGGTCCTGTTTGTGTCAAATATCAACAGAGTGCTCATGTTTTCTGTCACTAACTGCTGTGTTCAGCAAGCCGGCATGTTTATTCTAGCCCACTTTATCAGCCATAGTAGCTTAAAACTTTGCCACAAGGTCTAAAGTCTCTCCTAAGCTCAACAAACACTGGGACAAAAAATCAAAGTACACCAATGTCAATATGGTGCACTTAACAGCATTCAGACCATTGTAGGGTTCAAAGATGGATTCTTCCGCTCCTGTACAATGGAGGTCTTTAGGATGGCAGTAGTGTTAGTGATGCAACGTCAATTGTGAATAGAGCTGGTCACTCATGCTTCTGTGGTCTATTCAGCCTTAGGATAATCTTGAAAGGAAAGGCACCTCTGAACTACATGTCAGCAAGTTCAGGTAAAATTTCTGTGTCTTCTTAACCGTACATTTACCTCTTGTAACTGTAAGGAACTGGTGCATATTCAGTGTCTATCTCTTTCTGATGCTTTAGAAAATGGTGTTCTTGTGTTTACATACTCTGCAGGTATTATTTTGTCTAAAGTTGGTAGCACTGCATTTCAAGTTCAGCACTCGGTTGCTAAGACACGGTGTCATGGCCGAAATTTGCCAACAATGTGTTCAAACATTGTATCTTCCAGCATGTTCTGTAGTATTGTACATTAAGTCTTAAGCAGGGCTATACTCTTTTTTTTAGCTGTGTTATACAATCATGTACTTTTACTAGATTACATTTACAGGTGTCAGCAATATCGTATCTTTTGTGGAACGTCACGTGTACCTGTCATGAGCATGACGACCAAGTCCCCCCATGTTTGCCCTGCCCACTTGGGTAAAGGGACCCCCTGCCACACTTCGTAATCAGGTTAGCCCTCTCTCTTTGATAACCTGCCTCGGATGACAGCCTGCCCACCTTGTTCCAATGCTTGGGTGCCAGAGTACTGGTGCCTCCAGTGTGAGCTCTCTCAATGCCGTGCTCCTTGACTTCAGGATTAGTGGGCTTGTGAGAGACAAGCAGGTATACCGTACAGAGGCCTGGCTTGTCCGTGTTTGCGTTGTGATGGTATTTAAGCTTGGATGTCGGAGAACGTGCGGTCTTGAGTTACGCTGTCGTTGAAGGTAGGTCGTTGTGCTTTTCGGGAGTAGATATTGTACTAATGGTGTCCGTCATCACCATTTGTTGATATGTAATTGCTTGTAAGCGACTCGAAGTTTCACATATAGTTACTCAAGGTTAGGAAATCACCATTACTATTTTCGAACAAATACTATACTGTACTATACAACTGTGCTTATGCTTGGTGAAAGTTGCCTACAGTTGTATACATCTACACAATTGTAAACCTTTGTCAGTAGAATTTGTGCTGTAGCTGGTCTTGGAATAACATAAGATACATACTACTGAAGATATTTACATAATTTTGAAAATAATTGATCAATATTGGCTGGACTTATAAAACTTAAAAGCTTTCTTCCTACTATGCTTTCAGCCAAAAGACTAATTTTGTCAGTGGGGTATTATGGTCATGTCATTTGTGATAATAGCAAACTTTTAATAATGGTATTGCCAACTTCATTCATTTAAAACTGTTCTTACACTATCTTCATTTAAAGTCCTTACAACAGAAGCCTGCATCTAGTAATGTCTACTTTTAGTTTAACTTTTCAAAGAACTAGACAGTGGTATAATTTATTACTTTGCTGTACTTAGGAAAAAAGTTACACCTGGTGAGTTTTTCAGAAATAACCTTTCCTTGTCTACCGGGTGCCGAGATAAAGCCTCCTGGCGTGTGTGTTGCTATTTGAATAACAATCCCAACTTTCTTCAAGTGTTCTCGAAGTCCCTCGGTCCGCACGACTCTCGGCAGCAGCTGCCACTGAAGTATGTCTTAAGGACTTCACTGTAACTTCCACCTTCCCTTTTCATGTAGGTAAGTACAGCTGAAGCAAAACATATGAGTGTTAACGTGCATATCTAAGATATTTGGTGGAAATATAATATCTATTTGGATTTCAGCACAAAAGGAAACCATTGTGGGAACTACTGTTCTTGGAATGATGAAAAATCATGTTTATTTATTTTATAAACTTGGCATAGCAAAACACATCGTCAATCAGTATAGTACAGCAAATCAAGTATGTACTGGGTGTATGCATGTACTGTGATTTTTATACAGGAATTATATATTCTTAAATTGTGGCTGTAACACTGTGTAATTCAGTACTTTAGAGTTGGGACGTGCAACCTGCATAAGCTAAGGACGATATGCTTCAGTTATAGGCCGTCATCGCAGCTGAAGGCTTTTAACCAAGTTGGCAAGGTTCAGTGAGCGTCTGCACATCAGGCATGTGTTATCAGCAGGTTCACAACAGGTTATCTCAGGTTTTGCCTGAAAGGTTTCCGAAGGCGTCACCTTGCATGCAGTTTTGCATGTGTCATGTCTCTTTCCTCAAAACACGAGCGTACTGAAAGGCATGCTTGCTTAGAAGGAAGGGCAGACAAAAGGGCAACTTTGTTCACCAACAAGTTGACGGTTCGGATGTTTGGAAGGAACTGCTGACAGGTGTGTGTTCAATACATTCTGTCACTGGCAGAGAACTTACAGCAATTGCCTGCTTCCAAGTGGATGTAAGTGCTTTTTGTGTACTACTACTTTTGTCTACTTGGTTTAATTTATAGCATACTGCAGTGATATATTGTCCTACTTTCTACTCCAACCTTGACGCTAGCTTTTAGCAGGGTTCTTTTATTCCAACAAATACATGTAATTGTCAAATTGTAAATCATAAGGAGTTAAAAGTTTAAGATTGTGATCCCTTTCAGTCAGATGCTGTCTTACACTTATGTGGAGATGTATGAAATTGATGTAAAAATGTCAGATACAGCAAGATATTGGTTGGTTAATCTTAGTATCAGGCCAAAGTATCATGCCTCCTAAGTGTTAACGGCTCTTGGAACCTTTGGATTTAAATACATCTATACCCCAAACAAGTGGGTTTTGAAAAATAATCACATAAGCTTTCAGCTACACAGCCAAAGTGCTTGACCAACATATGATCAACCAACCAGATACTGAAGTGATGCATGCTGTTTAACATGGGATCACTGTGTAAGATGATGTAAGATCATGAAACATGCTCAAACACTGTAGGAGATGGCTTAAACTGTCAACTACATGAGGCTAGAATAAACAGTACCATTTTTTTATGAGAGCTTAGAGTTGCTCTCATTGATTCTGTGTATTTGCTTGAATTTCATTTGAAAATT